TTTTTTTGTAAATAAGTTCAAAAAGTTTCACCTAATAAAAAACATTAATATGCATTTTATCTTAAAAGTTTTTTATCTGTTAAATATTAAACTATAATATATATTCTTAGTAGTTGTTTATAAATTTTAAATCACAACTAAATAATTTGTTTTTGTTTCTTCTGTAAAAAAAATTGATAATATTATAATTATATGTCGTTTTAGAATGTTTTGGTTTTTTGAAAACCGGATTATAAAAACCGATCCAACCGAATTAAATTTGGATCGGATCGTATCAGATTTGAATTTAGTTTTGGCTATTTTGATCCATATTTTGAAAACCGAAATAAATTTGGATTTCACTCAATTGGATCGGATCGAACCGATCCATCCAAACGAACACCCTACTTATGAATTGGCATGGTTGAAAGGTGTCCTAGATACTCTAGGTGTTTCATTCTTTGTACATGTGCGCATATATAGTGGCAGTCAATCAACATTTCACATCACAAAAAATCTTGTTTTCATGAGCGTACTTAAAACACATAGAGGTTGGTTGCCATTTTGTGTGGGATGAGATTTGCAGTGGGTTTGCTATTCCATTTTTATTTTGACGACTCATCAACTCCATGCTCCAACTTGAGGAGGTATCAGTGTATTATGTGTTTCCTTGTATGTATTATTGTCTTACATTAGGTAAGTATATGTTTAGGAAACTAGAATATTTTATATGAGTAAACACCCCAGCATACCACTTCTCATCAAAGCATTATCCTGATAAAACATTTACTTCATAGTTTCTAAACAATTTCTATTCTATACATACAGATACAGTATAATTTCTAAACTATCGAAAATTGAAAATAGAAGTCATTAAAATAGGTATAATTTCTAAACAATTTTTTTTTTAAATACTCTCTCATCAAAGCATTATCCTGATAAAACATTTACTTTTTAGTTTATACATACATTATTATTTTTTAATTTAATGTAAAAAACTGATCATGTTATTATATTTTAATAAAATAACAAAAATAGTAAATTTGTTACATTGAATAGTTGAATATAAGATAAATATGAAAAAACACAACATATTATAGACCAATAACCGGAAAAAACATATTTATTAATTTTATATCTATGAAAACCCTCCGAGTGTTGAAATGTTTAATAAATGGGGTTTTCGTAATGGATGTATGTAATAGATTGTTGTTTTTTAATAAGATGTTTATAATAGTGTTTTTTCAAGTATTCAAAAATTTATTAGAAGGATATGTTTCATGTGGATTGAAATAATAAGAGGCTTTAAATAGTCACGAACTTAGAAAGCTTTTGATAGTTTTGAAGAACTTAAGCTATTCCATTTCAATTTACAAGTTAAATATTTATATTTTAAAACAAAAACTCTTTAATCCAAAAACATACTTCAAATAGTTTTTCAGAGCATTTAGAAACATTTTACTTTTAGCTTTCATGTTCAAATCTTGAACTTTTGTTCATATTTATTTTATTTAATTTTGCACATTTCAAATCATTAACGCTACTTTTGTCAAACATTTCTATACACATAAAACCAATTTCCTTAGCTTAACAAAAAAAAAATTATAATCGCATCAAATGCACGAGTACTATAAGTTTCTAAAGTTATGAAACTACTTTAAAATGTGAAAAATAAAAAATAAACAAAACACTCGTTAAAATCTTCCCTTTCCTACATCAATTATGACCATTTTAAGAAAAAAAAAATCAACTCAATAAACGTCTACCATGAACAATCATTTCTTCATGACATATCCAAGAATCAACCCAATCAAAGCAACAATTATCACAAGGATCAAAGGGATACCACCACTCCCTTGGCTTTTGTTGCTTCCACGCCTCAAAAGTTCCTATAATTTGTTTTAAAAAAAATATATATTATTAAAATTAATGGATAACGGTTTTTATAAAAGGGTAAAAAGGTAAAACGACATCTCTCACCATTTCTTGTCGAATTCTTTTACTTTGTTCAATAGCAGCATTCTTCTCATCTGTCAACTTTGAAAGAAGAGATTTCACCTGAAAATCATAGTTATACAGTTATACTGTGTTTGGCATGTATTGGAGTGGGACTGATGTCAAACATTTAACTAGTGCCACGTCATCATATCTTGGTAAAATGCTAAAACAAATTCTATATACATTTTAAAAAATAAAAAACGAACTCACCTCGGAGGATTTATCTTGAGATTCAACGTAGCTTCTTGAAACCTGCATGAATCACGAAATAAATTTTTAAATAAAAAAGTCTTTATAACGAATAAAAAGTAAAAAAAATAACAAAAAAAACAACCTCGGGCCCACTGAAATTCCCCTTATCTGTTATGGCTGGTGACTTTGGTGAAAAGAGTGGTTCTTCTTTAGCTTGTGCAATGGCTGAAGTTGATGGATTTGGAGGAAGATAAACCACTTTTAATTTGCACTCTTCCAATTTACGCCCTGGTTCTTTAGTAAACTGTTTTATAAAAATCACTATACAGTAAAAAAATCAAATCTTTTTTGGATCAAAACCAAGCATATAAATAGAAACATGGCCTTGGTTCCTTCTTCCCCTTTATCTTAGATCTCAATTGTTAACCAGTTACACAAAGAATTAGAAAAACGTGAAAGGGTAAATTGGGTATTATATCATATATGTTCTTACTTACCATTTCAGGGGTTATGTCCTTAGGGGTTGCTCCAGGGCTTGCAATTACACTCTGAAGGAGAAATTTATCTTTACATTGCATGTCAGGAGGAGCATCTTTCTGAGCTTGCATTGTTACTGTAGCAAAACAGACAAAATAATGAAAATATAAAATCTTATTAGCTTCTTTTGATTGTAAAGAATTTGAAGTTTGACTCTCATTCTGTACACGAAGCAGTATCAATATGAAAATTTTGCAGGCATATGTAGCTTAGATTCTAACAATATCGGTTCTAAATGATAAGTAAGAGACCTAAATGAATGATCAATCCCATAAATTGGGTTTAACTGGTAATTTTTAGAGCAAACTGGTTTCAGTTTTGAATTTGGGTATGGCAAATTGAATTATAGAAGCTAATGTTTAGGCAAAAATTTGGAATGATGGATGGAAATTATCATGGAATTGTTCAGCAACCGCATAGATTAGAACGAAAAACTGAATTAGGGGAAAATACGCACCTATAACTTCACATGTTGATCGAGGCAAAACAACTCCGGTGTTCGGACGAACGCAATACTTCTTCGGATTCGTCGTCTTCACCTGAATAATTAGCATCGATTCAGATCATATGTACATTACACCAAAAAATCGAGAAATCAGAATCTAAATCCATAATCGGGCGAAATCACGAATTAAATCCTGCAATCAGATCATTAACGCGATATGATGGCATTATACGAAACAGAAAAGCAACAAATTTTTTACCTTGAAACCCACATGGTTATCGGTCTTATTCGTTAACTGAAGCGAGGAAGAGATCTGTTTATTCAATTCGACTGTTCAATCGAACAAAAACAAAAGCGAAAACATTGATCATTAATTAGATTTGAATAAGAAAACGAATAAACAAGTTGGGTGATGCGATCGGATGACTTACATGGGAATTTGAGCTCTACAGGATCAACGCTGAGGAGTTCCCCAGTACTCATTTCTTCAACCGATGCAGAATTCGAATCCCGAAACGAGAAAATTGAAGAAAAGCAAATCTGAGTTGTTGAATTTAATGGGAAAAGGAGAGATGAAATGGGTAGGAGGAGAGGGTTGTTGTGGAAAAGGCGTTTTTTAATGAAATATGAAAACGGAGAGATCGATGCTGATGGGGGTTTGACTTTTGACAAAAGAATTCCTTCAACATCTATTTATTTGTTTTTTAAAAGAAACATAGCTTTCTTAATTTTATTTCAATGCTCAAAACTATTGTTTATAAATAATTAAATATATATCAATAGTTTATAAATTTTAGATTAGATATCTGAGTTTCTATACATCCTCCTTAAATATTGGTGTTATATAATATCCAATTCATCAAATATATCAACTTGAAAATTGTATGCTAATACAACCAATAAGTTAATAGATCAACTAAACAAATTTCAAAATATAATAATGATAAACAACATAATGACTTTTAAGAATGAAGTATATAATCTAGAACATACATGTTTTCTCGGTTATATCAATCTCACAAAACTATAAAGTATTTGATTATTCTATCCAAAATTTCATTTTGTACATGAATATACCGAAATGTGACCACATCTAGTGGCATTTATGTGACACCAATATTGTTGCCATTTTTTCACGAGTCCATAAATACTACATGAAAGGCACATATAATTGAAAAATAATATTTTACAAAACTACATTTAATTTTAAATTTGAAGTACAGTTCCTTTTCTTAATAACCATCATCCAAATTTATTGTTTTAGACTTTGTTTTCTTCACGGATTTCTTTTATGTTCTAAAGACGAAACATAAATGTTAACCATAAGAAAAATCATGTTCTTTTTCAGACGTATCGTTCTAATCAAACTACTTTAAAAGCAAAATTCAACTAATAATTGATAGAAAATTAAAAGTCTGAAAAGTGTTATTATCATATAATAGAAAAAGCTTTTGTAACCCGACTACTTGATTCAATTAATATGAATTATATACACTTTAATCGTACATTTTTCCAGCTAAGCTCTTTTAATTTTACAGCAATATCTCTGATATCATGACTCATCTCCACTTAATAACTTCATTTCATTTAACACATTTATTTACCATTTATTCCAAATAACACACGTGATAAAGGGGAAAAAAATCTATCTAGCTATAACAATGAAAATATCTTTTTATTTGAACGACTATTATACATTTATACTTGGATAGATTATTCAGAAACAAATCAATAAGAACACATTGTTATTTCTTGCATTTAACCCTATCTTTTAACACCAATCTCATGATTGATTTATGAATTGACCTTGATCATAATAAAAATAAACAAAAGAAAACATTTAACATTCATCAATTATTCCTTTCATCTTTCAGGGTGTGTTTTCCAAGTCATTCACCAAACATAATAATAATCCATAAAAAAAATTACACAATCAACGTAAAAATCGCCCGAAAAAATCATGTAAAAAACAGAAGAATATGTCAAAAGCAGTGTGAATTTGTCTAATTTCTATGGTAGCTCTTATGCATATGCAAAAATGGCAGAAGGAACCTCATCAGAAATATGTAATATTTGTTCGTACTTTTCATATTCTGTGTTCTTCCTGAGGTAATATCAGTTCTTGAAGATCATCAACCTCCACCTGTTTCATGATTAAAAAAGGTGTTTAGTTGGATGGAATGGAATTGACATGATAATGGAAGAAGGGTAATGGAATGAGTCATTACATTCCATGATTATGTCTAGTTGGAATGGAATAAATTATTATTATATATAGATATTATTATAACTGTAACCCTAGTTTTTACATTATTAACTATAATTTACAAAAAGAAACTACTTACATGAATAAAAAAATTAAACACAATAAAAACCAAATAACTTTAAATAATAAATCTTATATTTTCTAATTAGTTTTAGAAAATAAAACACTCTAATATAATTAAAATCATGATTCTCTATTCAAAAAGTGCGTTAAAAATTATTCTAATAAAATGAATTACATTGCAAAATACGACGGATCACATTCGTTCATCGGTTCATGAATGGCCGATTCCATTCCGTTAGCGAAACAAACATTTCCGATGGAATGGACGATTCCATTCCATCATACCAAACACTATAAATCTAAACAACGGAATTACCTCGTATCTGTTACCACCGTAAGTGTATTTCACGTGCAGCTTTTTGGTTTCACCGGGACACGGATCACAAAATCCCATGATTCCTGACTTCTTTACACCTTCATGTAGCTATAAAGTAATAGAAGCAAAATTATTAATTAAATATAAATAATGTTAATTAATTAAATAAACAAATGGATAAACAAACCTTGAGTTGACCGGAATCATTGACCAGAAAATTTAAAGGTAAAGTAACATCCACAATCTGTGAAGCTAATTCATATTCATCTTTTGTCTCTTCTGAATTATTTGTGCTTTTTTTAATTGCTTTAGGGTTACCATAAACTGCTTCAATAATTACCAAACCACCCGTTTCCAATTGCTTATTTTTTTTCCTATTCGCCACATTTTCCAACAGCTGTTGAGCTTTCTCTGCTGCTGCTTTTGCTTCTTGAACCTATACATTATGTAACAACACACAAAAATATCTATAATACCCTCCTGCTCAACACATACTTTAAGGGTAAATACGTAATTTTTACATACCTGTGTGCGAGTCTGTTCCATATTCTCAAGTGCTTGTAGTTTTTCTCTTCTACGATAATAAGGTTTGAAAACAAGAGACTGCATGCATAAAAATAAAAGATAACAAATCATAGAAATCTTACATTATACCATTTTTTGAATAATTGTCAGAATTCATTGATTTAAGAGTAGTAATAAATAATAATAATAATAATAATACCTTGAGTGTAAAATAAAGTGATGTTGGAATAAGAAATGCCCCTGAAGCAAATCCAAGATTAAAGTGTCTTGAAAGAAAAAATCTGCACACGATAAGAAATCAAAAACAATTTCTTCATAAAAATATAAAATTTGAAGAAAAAAAAATAATAATTTTGGAACAATTGAACTTACAGGAACAACCAAACTTTTGTGGGCCACGATGGAATTCTAGTTTCCAGTATATACCCTTTGAATAAAAGAAAAACTTATTAGATAAAGAGACTAAAAGAGAAGTTATTATAATAATAAAAAGTTGTAAAGTATATATTTTTTAGAACAACAGAATTAAAAAAAAAAATGAACCTGAATCCCAATTGTGTACAACATTCTAATGGTGCTAAAATTTGATATTTTTCTTCCACCCCCTATTTCAAGTTCAAGTGCACCACTACAAATAAATATAAAATATATATAAAAATTAGGTTCCATTTTCTAAATGTTTAAGTACATATAAATGTATTGTAATTGTATCTAACTACTAAAACATTAGATAAAAGCAGTAAGCTGAATATATAACAATATAAAAGAAGAAAACAAAAGAATAATAGTATTTTACAAATATGTATAAAAAAATAAAAAGAAAATAAATAATACCTTCCAATTTTTCCAGTAATACGCCCATGAGACTTTGTGGAGAATCTACGTGTGTATCGAGCAACTGCACCAATTGCACTTGTTCCAATCTATAAAATTTAAGACATTAAACAAAAATATAAAACTTTTATAATTATCAAGAATTGTGAAAACTGAAAAGTAGCATATACTATTGTTTTGTTTAATACTTTTATTTAATCAATAAATAACAAATCAATGATCTTTCTTCAATCTTCATATAGCTTCAATTTTTAGCATAAACTTTACAAACATTCAGGCTACATTTTAGTCATCAATTTGAAAGATTCTCTCCCTTTTTTCTTTAATTCATAAATTATTTCAAAAATAAACTATCATGGAATTTTAAAAACAAAAAAATTACCCTAATCTCTCCTGCTGCAGCCATTTTTTGGTCTTTCTTTCTCCATCCAACAGCAACTGAAGAGTCTGAGCCTAAACTTAGCTCTATCTGGAAGACACTCGAAAGATAAAAATATAATATAAAAAATAATCATTATTTTTTAAATAAAAAAAAGAGCTTTTTATTCTTTATTTCTTACACTTGCATTTGATGTTGTGGAGAGTTGACGATTCCAAGAATTTGAAAGATTTATTGAACCATCTCTTAATGACATGGCAAGCCCCATTGTTGCAGTGGCATGACGTGACACCTGTCTGAATCAAGATATAGCAACCTACTTTCATTTTTTTGTTTATTATAAATTATAAATTAAAAATAGCATCCTAACTTTTCATTTCTTATTAGATTTTGAAAAATTCAATCCAACAACAGCATTGAAAGTGAAAATTGCTTTGAATTTGAGTAATAAGAAGAAGTAAAAGCATGATGCTATGCTATAATAAACAAATGAATTGGAAATAAGTTTTTAATTTTTGTATTCAAAAAAAGAAAAAAAGAAAATGGAAGTTATTATTATTATTTATTACCGAGATGTCTGTAAGCCTATTAATCCTCTTAAACCAGCAGAAGCCATGAATTCAATGGAGGAAACAGAAGATAATTGATGCCTAAAAACAGCATTTGCAGCTGCATCACCATCACTTCCTTTTACAGCAAGGGTCCCACCAACAGCAATAACATTATTTTTTGATATTTGAGATTGGATTTCACTGTTCATTGACATTCTGCAAATTTACAATATCAAGATTTGGATTCAATACATATGGGTATCAATCTTTTCAAGAATTTAAAGAATGTGTAACTGTGTATCAATTCAAAGAATGTTATATAGATTACAAAATAAAAAATGATAATTTAGTGAAAAGGATTAGAAATCATACGCTCTCATTAAACCATGCCCTGATAAAAAACTTGGAACTGATAATTGTGCTAGAATGACACCAGAAGGTTGAAAATGAGCAGAGGTTTTTTCTTCTTCCCTTCTACGTTTTAGTCTTTCAAGTTCTTCCTTGATTTCTTCAACTTTATTTAACTTTGGACCAAGTTCTAAACCAGAGGTTAACCCTTCCATACCATATATATCGTATATTTGTCTTTTGTTTTCATCAGTTAATATCTCATATGCTTCACATATCCTCTGAAAGTTCACTGTTGCTACTTCCTTTTGCTGAAAAAAAGAAGAAACAGATTCCATTAAAGATTGAAATTAACATAGAGTAATCGATACTAACATTCTTTCATTTCAATTTCTATTTAATAAAATAAACATAGAGTAACCCTATAAACTTCTTATGTGTTTGGAAGTTGTAACTCGATTTCTTAACTTCAAAACTAACCAAATTTACATTTCATTATAATAGCAATAACAAACCAAACATGAAAACCATTATTGAAGAACGAACTTATAACGATTTCCTGAAAGGGTTTATGGAACTTCTAGAGAAAACAAGGCAAATTCGCAAAACCAATACATCCGATAGTTACTTGCATAAACGAAACGAACCCATCTCATTAGAATTGCAAGATGCATTACTGAACTCATAAAATTATAATTCGGTAACTTCATACGATAAAACTTTTTGGGCGAGAAAGTTACCCCTGTAGCTTGGATTTTATCAGGGTGATAGACTTGCGCAAACTGACGATAAGCTTTACGGATTTCTTCATCTGAAGCTTCCGGGGATACATTAAGTAGAGCATAGAGCTCTCTGTTTGAGGCTCCGTCTTCTGTTACTTTCATAACTTCAATTGAGGACCAAATTCCCTTTTTAGGGTTCTATCAACAGAGGATCGAAATAAATGGCGTCTTTATCCAGTAAAGATTTCTGCAAGCATCAGATGAATAGTGGGTTTTGTTCTGATTTGCTATTCTTGATTGGAAACTGTTCGAGGTTATGTGTTTCTTGTTTGGGGTTTTTTTTGAGGGTTTTCTCTTTTGGTCTTGTGATGTTGTGAGCGCGTGTTCATTATTCTGCAGCGTGGGTCCAAAGAAATTCTTTTCCAAGTTTTTGGAAACACACCTTAGATTCAAAAGAAATGTCATTAAAGTCCCCAAAATGAATAATTAATTCAATATAGTCCTTAATATGTAGACCTGGCAAAATCTGGCACGACACGACAACCCGACACGAACCCGACACGAAGTTAGCGGGTTAGGGTCAGAGATTTTGACCCGTTTATGTACACGGTTGACACGACACGACACGATAATTAAACGGGTAGGGTTAGGGTCAAGACTTTCAACTCGAAGATGACTCGAAGATGACCCGTTTAATTTATATATTTATATATATATATATATATATATATATATATATATATATATATATATATATATCATATTTTTATAAATATTTTCAATATTATACATTTGTAGTGGCCCAAATTCAAGAATTAAAAGTAAAATTCAAACATTCAAAGTACTTAATTTTACTTCTCCTCACTACCTATCTCATTTACATCCTAACTCTTAACTCTTTCCATTTTTCTTTCTAAGCTTACCACTACCTCCGTCCCATGTTTATTGTCCAATTTTGATTGTTGAAGTCTTTATTCTTCAAATTTGACCTTAAATGTTTTTGTTTTTCATATATAACACTTAATGCAAAATATATGAATTGATTGTGTTTTAAATGTCTTTTCATTGTTATAAGTTTATCAAGTAATTTATAACACAAATAAAACTATTTAAGGTCAAAGTAGAAAAATAAAAACTTCAAGAGTCAAAAATGGACAATAAATATGGGACGGATTCCACCTCCCAACTCCAGCATTTCACTTTCTCAGTTTTTTTCCTTCATGAGTCTTACTTTTCAACCTTTAAAATGTTTCAACCCGACATTACACAATATATTTATAAGGTTTAAACATTAACACGAAATCCGACACGAAATCGACACGAAAATAAACGGGTTGACACGACACGACACGATAATTAAACGGTTCGGGTTAGGGTCAAGCACTCTCAACCCGTTTAATGTCTTGACACGGTACGACCCCGACACGACACGGCACGTTTGCCAGGTCTACTAATATGGACATGTTATCTAAATGATAACCGATTAAGGAGGACACGAATGGAATACGAGAGATTTAAAATGAGTATGTTCAGTAGTTGTGGTGTACATGTGGTTGACATTTATTAAACAAGATACATGCAAAGAAATCATAAATGTGTTGTGAGTGGTGATGATCATTTAGAATCAAGGTTCTAAATAACAAATAATGTAAGGCGTGTTTGGCAGCAAAGTCAAAATTAAGTCATGGTGAGTCTTGCTAAGTCATAACGTTTTTCAAAGTACGACTATTTTATATACATGAAAAATGATAAATCATAAAATTATTGAATTTTATCAAATATATAAATTTTTGAAGTGTTATATTAATATTTAATACAAAAAAGTTAACAAAAACTCAATTAAAAAAATACACCTTTAAATAAACTCGCAACATAACGCGATAAGGCGCGCTTTGACACGTTATTTTAGTGTCATGCTTAACAAACCCACATTGGACGTTTTCGTAACAGTTACCACGCATTGCGTCATCGCATGCCTTGAGGCACGCTATAGCGCTTTTTAGAACCATACTTAGAATTAAGGGAAAGAAGATTGTAGTGATTCAAACATGTTGTGACAACCCGATATTTTTTCAAGTCAATGTAACATTCAAAAAGTCAAATATAATGAACTATTTGGAATCAATGAAATTAGCGTCAAAAATGAAGTGTTCTAAAATCTTAATTGGGATGCATAAAGTGTTAGATATCGTGTCAAGATTTCCAAAAATATAAAGAACACTCAAATCCGAGTTATAACGAAGAAGTTATGACCAATCGAAAATCCACGACACACCCGGTAAAACACTGTTAAGCGTAAAAAGTGAAACTTCAATAAAATACTTTTTAGCCTTATGTATCTAAACGAAAGTCGTAGATTATGTTAAACCGTGAGCGTACATAAAAAGAACGCCCAAATCTGACTTCGTATGAGGAAGTTATGATTTTTCTAAATTTCAGAACAGCAGTAGACAGCTAAAAACTCGAAATAAAGATCGAGCGATTTTTAGCCGACGCAACCTAAAAGAGAAATGAAGGTCTCTACAGTAGTAGTACAATGGTAAAAACACAGACGAAAACGGACATCGGATAAAGAAGTTATGGATTTTTAACGAAATTATCATGTCCCGGCCTATTAAATAAAATATAATTAAAAATAAAGTCAAAACTAGCCGACGAAGTCTAAATGAAAGTTGTAGAGTATTTTCTCACCTACGCGTGGATATAAAGAACGTCAAAAACAGAGCTCGTATGCGAAAGTTATGCATTTTTGAAGTTTTTGGCACGCATTACGAAGCTTATCCGAAGGAGTACGCCCAGCGTACTTCGGAGTACGCCCAACGTACTGAATCGAGGGCCTCGGATCAGCCACGTCGCCCCTACACTCTACCGAAGACCGGAGACCGTGACGTCATCGCTGACGTACGCCCCGCGTACGAGGGTACGCCCAACGTACGAGGTACGCCCCGCGTACTTCGGTGTACGCCTAGCGTACAGGGGCTGTTCTCTCTCCTATAAATAGCATGCGAGCCTTCCGATTTTCCTTGCCCATTTCCTCTTTCTCTCTCACTCTTACTCCACGTTTAGCATCCCGAGACGATCCCGACTTCCCGGTTTCATACCTCAGTCCCGACGAAGGTCCGAAGCTCCGAGATTCCCGAGAATTACACCACTTTCCGTTCGAAGTGCCGCCCGAGAAAAATCTCGTTTTCTTCGAATCATCACACTTTCCAAGTGAGTTCATACCCCTACATTTTCACGTCTTTTCATGTTTTAGGGAGGGGGGGGAATACAAGTGCAATACGAGAAAAACTTATCGTTTTATACGGATTCAAAATACATCATCTACATTTTTATACATGTTAAATAACATTGATATCAACGTTACACTTTACATGCAAAATTAGTATTACATCGAGTTTTTATCACCAAATGGAACACACTTTCGGAAAAACTATAATGGGTATAGTTTACGGGTTATTCATTACATCTTTACGTAAACATTGTGAAAATGAAATACTTTCATCTACATGAAATATAGACTTTTCTTTTTCGTAAATCTATTAATACTAAGTGTTGTGAGACATTCAGCTTCAACGTACCCTCAAGTACGCATTTCAAGTCATGTATTATAAACCATAATCTCTTGTAGGGAGAGCGTGATACTTGTGTATAGATCTATACGGGATTGACAATCCCGCACCTAAACTGTTAGCTATAGTTAGACCGGCAGGTCTGGGGTGACAAAAGTCATAACACTACAACGCCTGAAGAACGTTGTTACAGGCAGTCTGGGCCAATAGCATGGTTATAAAACTCACACGGAAGTATTAAAATAAGTTTGATTTACGAGACTTTTTGATGCATTCAGTAAATACATTATTTGAGTATAAATACACTTTCACCATTTGAGCACGAAAGATACTATCGCAATGCCAGCCTTTAAAACAACTTAAGACTTATAAAAATGAAAAGACAATACTACATTCACTAAAACTTAACCCTTTTACCTTATAACTTAATATTTTTATATGAAGTATTATATGTAAAAATAGTAAATCTGTGAATGAGTGAATTAATAAGTTTTTAAGTTATGAATACTATGGCTGAGAGTCCTGAACTAATTTAGTAAATTGTGAATGAGAGTCATAAACTGTTTTATTAAATTTGAATTAAAGTTTTCGGATGTAAGTTTTAAGTTAAGAATATGGTTGTGAATGTATAACCTTTGTGTATTAAACTTTGAATTTATTATATTAAATAATAAATTGTGTGTATTAAGTTGTGAATTGACTATATTAAATTGTAAATTGGTTGTATTAAGTTATGAATTGACTATATTAAGTTGTGAATTTTTTATGAAGTTTTTGTTTGCTTCTAAAGTATAAGATGAAAGAACCATTATACACATATATGATTTTATATAATCTTGAATAAAGTATGTAAAATTTAAATTGTGAATATTTATATAAATAAACTTTAAAATAAGCACTAGCTTATAGATTTGAATGTATAAATGTAAGTTTTAAGTTGAGAATATGGTTGTGAATATATAATTTTTGTGTATTAAATAGTAAATTTATGATATTAAACTGTGAATTAATTGTATTAACCTATAATTTATTAATGAACTTTGTGTTAAGATACGAATGATTTATGTATTAATGTTTGTATTAATTTAATTGTGGATATATTTATTTTTTGAGTTGTATAAATACGTAAGAATGTATTAGTTTTGTCAATAAGGTCCAGTTGAACTGGACAAAGGCACACTCCAGTTTTCCCTTTCCAGGGGTTTCTGGGGGAATAGTGTCGACTTCTATCCGTGTCCAAAGCAGTGAAGCTCCTTAAAGGGAAACTAGGTTGCTAAGGATGTTATTGTTATCTCTTCGTAGAAGGATTGAACCCGGGTGCATTGGGTGTTATGGCATACTGCCCTATCGGATGTCACTCCCCGCTGCATTAAACTGTCGTTCAAAAAAAAGAAAGTATTAGTTTTACATTAAACTTTGAATTAGTGAGTTAATTGGTTTATTAAAAATGTGAATATAATATTTAAGCTATGAATCCATAATTTTATATACATATCTGATTTGGATGGAAAGATGGTTGTGACGGTAGTGCAAATGGTTGGTGGCGGCATATAGTAGTTGGTGGTGGTGGTGTAGAGTTAGGGTTTGACTTTTCTAAATATGTGAATTAGTGTATAATAGATTGTATTAAGTTGTGAATTTTATGTATTAAACTAAGAATTAGTTGTATTACGTTGTGGATTTTATATAAATTTTATGTAAAATATTAATGAATGTATGCATGAAATAATTGAATGTGAATTAGTGAATTAATGTTTACTAAATTGTGAATATGTACTATAAACCATATATATTTTAAAGAG